GATCATAATGAATATTAACGGTATAGGTTGCAAATCCAGGCGTTTTTGCTGATAATCATCTTCCCTACGTTGCGGAAAGCTTGCAAAACTTAAACAATAGAATGGTCCCAACACTAGCAGAGATGACGATTAAAGCGATCGAACAACTTCACAGTGGAGGAAATGGCTATTTTTTAATGGTGGAAGGTAACGTATTTCCAAGTTGACACATAAGAAACTGACCTCTTCTATAGGTGGTTCCATCGACATTGCTGAGCATATGAACACGATGCATCTCACTTTTGGAGAACTTTACGATTTTGAAGAGGCAATCCGACAGGTCTGTCTGAGTTTATATTTGCAGAGTGACTGAAAATTACTAGGCGCTGGAAGGTGTTGTCGCAGCTTTCTCAGAACAGACATGAAAAAATTTTACACGTTATGAACCTTTAAATACACAGTTTGCTGATTCGTTTCGTGTGGTTTATTATTATTATCTCTAGAAGAGCAAAATCTTTGGAAACAAGTACAAAAATCGAAAGGAGAACCCTTGCTCTGCAAAACTGTTCGCATGCGGATTAACTCCTGTAGATCGAATCGGAATGGATTGTCAGCTGGAACCTAAAGAGTTTCTTCATTACTTGCTGGTCCTTTTTTGGAAAGCAAAAAGTCAAATCTTGTTGAAATTACCCCGAGAGGGTTTGTCATACTAGTTGCGATAATCGAAGAGATCATGCTCAGGATTATGGTAGGTAGACAATAAAAGGGCCAAATCGCAGACTTCTTCTGAAAGTAAAATATTTAAATTAAAAGAGTTCCGATCACCACAGGTAGATAATGGAATCAGTTCACCGATCTGGCTGAAAGGAGACTTTTTGAATTTTATTCCTATTATCTGAAGTGGTATCATGGGGAGAATACAATCAAAAAGACGAAATGTTGGTCTGTCTTGAAAAGGTGAATTATTCTTATCGCGCAAATCAGCACTACTTTTAACGAATATGAATTTCATGTTTGGACTTAATACCGTTACCACTTTTCGGACTAATTTGCGATGGTCCGCCTATCGTTTAACTGCCTTAATACTCTGCAATCCTGTCCTGCGAAATGGATATAATGCTAGTAAACTAGAGTTCTAAAATCCGAACTTCAACTGCTAGGAAATAAAATGTCGAAAACTACCATTTTTGCCCTTTGCCCTTGAAACTCCACAATTATAATTTCTAAGATGCAATCCAACAGGACCAATAAGTAGAACATTACCTTTTTCAACGGCTACATAAGTGGTTACTAAATATTTCGATTTAATAAAATTTTGATATTATTAAAATCTTGGAAAACCGCACGACTTATCTTAAAACCATATTCTCTTGTGCTCGATGCGAATGTTTGGAAAATTGGTTTGTTCTCAAATTAGTTCCAAGTTCTGAACGAGGTTTCTCTCAGCAAATTGGATGATTTGTGGAGAGGTGATTGGGCTCTGCGCTCTAATATAGTAGGTTGTCAGACAAGTTCGTGCCGTTTTTTCTTCAAACGCAAAAAAAAAGTGTCAAAGAGTCCTTAACAATTTGGCTATTTTGATCACGTTAATTTTCAGTTTCAATCACTTCTAGTTTTGCGAAACCAAAATTTTAGCTATATACACTTTCTATCTCCTACCAGACAGTATATATAGCCGTAGCTTCCAAAATTGGTTTTGCTGGACTAGAAGATTGAAACGGAAAATGTGCATGGTCAAAAAAGGCCAACCAATAGCCTATTTTTTTAGAATGCGAAGCTCGAAATTTGCT